TTTTTTATGAGGTATTTTCGTGGGAATTTCCATCTTAAAATAGTTGGTTTCACCAAAGTGCATTAATGGATACAGAATTCAACATTCAAACGATGACTAATGCGAGTTTGTCCACTGACTACTAGTAAAAATAGTAAATAAAAGAATAGATCATTGTATAGATAAAAAATAAGAGAGTTTTCAATTGTTTCTTTATCTGTTTTCATCTTGGTAGAATTATCTTGATATCTGAATCATTTTTGTGATTCAAATGATATATGAACTGTCTAGACCTGAACTAGCATTAAACAAGGATATATATAGGAAAGCAAGGAAAAAACATCTATTATATGGGTCTTCATTCTTTGTACTAGATGTTTAGGTAAATAGTCGTTCTATAGCAAAATACTCTGTGATGCATGATTCGCTTTTTTAATTCAAAAATTTAATTTCAGAAAATTTTTCAATGTAACCAAATTAATAAGAACTGTCATTAGAATTAGTGAAGAATAGCTGACAATCCAAATCATAAAATAGTAGTGCAGTTTCATTTCCTTTCGAAGAATAGATTCATTACCATGTTAATGTAAATGATTGACTAATAGCTTCAGAGTGAATTTTTAAAAGTATTTTATTGTGTCTTCCAAATAGCAAAAAAATTATTTTAAGAAAATATAACTCTAGTCTTGAGACTCTAGTCCATTCTAAATATAGTGTCATATCTTTATTCTTCAATGTGACAAACTTTTTTCACTATTTGAAAGGTAAAATAAAACTTTAAAAAATATTACTGTAAAATTGTTAGACAATTATTAATATTAACTTGGCAATGGATCTATTCTTTGGAGGGGAATGAAACTACACTACTATTTTATGATCTTTAACCCTGATCTTCTATGAATCGATGTTACGTGTTGTCTATTACTTATTAATAAATACTGCATTTTACTATTACTTGTAACACTGAGGTATTTGGATTGTAGCTATTCTTCAGTAGTTTTAATACGTTGTCTCTATGAACGCAGTAAACTCATGATATTTATACTGCATTAAAACGCTCTCCATTTAATAGTATTGCATACAGTCCCGTTAAAATGTTTTTCTGAAAACCTGTTATAACGGGGTTGAAGGATAGTAAAAGAGGTACTGTTAAAACGACATTTTTTGGACATTTTTGACTGTGCAAAATGATTTAAATAGCAGGAAAGTAGGAGTTGTTTTAACGCATCAATTTCACATTTCTGACTGCACGGCTAGTTTTTATACGCAGTTGAGATAACATCAGTACACAATACACTTGACAATTTTTTTTTCGGATACTTCTTGTCGTGAATGTTCTCTTAATTCAAGTTTTCGAGATTCAAACCGAAGCATAAAGTTCATCTTGACGCATATTGGCATATAATATCATGCGTGCAATTCGTCAACTCATACGTGACTGTACACGCAGCAATCAGTTGCAACCAGCATTACAAACAATGCGTACAAATGCACTGTATCTTTTTTCAAACTGTTTTCTTATGACTAGAAGTATCAAGTGTTACTGCGGTTCAGCATCCTACTGTTTTTCACCAACCAATTTCTTTGATCTTTATGCTTATGACGTCGAAGAAAACTATGTATCATATCGATTGGCCATCACTAATGTGAGTGGGTTATAAACTGGATGCTCTGGAATCGATTTGGGTATGGATGTGGATGTGTGTCTAGTGTAGGAAGAAGAGAATATATATACCCACAGCGACACCCGAAAATACCGTGACCTATAGTTGCATACAATGGCATCGCAGCTACACTTTAGTACATCTAAAAAATTATAATTACGGTTTTAAAATCATAGTTACGAATGACTAACGTAAGTCATAGTTCTCTTTAGTGGTTTTGTGTTGACGGAGAAGTCATGTTCGTGTCTACATAACGTTGTCGGATTAGCTTTGGACATGGGTGTATGTAGGGATGTGCAGTATTACACCAAGCACTGAAATACTGATGCCGACGATCAGCAAACCAACTATGCATATTCCCTAGGCATGTGGTTGCGACTGAAAATATTACTCACATCCACTGACACCGTCTTTGACTGTTTAGACCGCTCTAACATAAAGCTCTGTTTTTGAGTTATAACTATAGTTCAGATTAAAGTTATCATTTTGCTTTGACAATATAAATGAAGATAATTTTGAAAATTAGACTTATTGCCAGACTCGAATTAGACAGTTACTCAATTATTATCAAAAATAACCGTTATTTGTTCAAATTTTGGGCAAATAACAGCTGCTATTGTGAGGAATAACAATACTAATAAAAAGAAGAAAACTTTCGATTTTTATATACATTGCATAATAAAAATATCAAACAAGTTAATTGGTTAGATAATGTTAATTATTAATTAACTTATTTCCACATATGTCACGGTTGACATGAGAATTCAGTTGAGTCTAGAATGTGAAAATAAATTGTAAATAATTTCTTAGAAAAAAAATAATAATAGGAATAAAGCTTTATAAACAAGACGAACTAATTGGTATAGACAAGAGCTCACAGAATGAAATCACATTAAACTCTATAAATAAAAGATTGTAATGTTTTCTCTGAACTTTTGTTTTACTGTTATCAAAAGATCTGATCCAAAATTTACTAAAAATGATAATGCATCATACACCATCGTTTATAATATTGGAACAACAAGTTTAACTTTCAATTTCATTAGTACTTACAGTTACTTATTATTCTCTAAGATCATAATTATACTGCACGTATGTGATGCAATGCACCTTTGCTTTTAAAATATGCTCTAACCAACTCCCTGCTTGCCTGAATAAATACTTTTAAAAATTCATCAATTATTTAATGTCCCTATGTCCCAGCAATAAAAAGAATATAATCGAAATATATATTCTATGAAACAAAACAAGTATAATCAATCTATTATAGTTTATATATAGAATAATAATCTAAACACATCATTTTTTTTTAAAATAATGTTGAAAATAAAATTAAACTAAATTAACAATAAACAACTTTTTTCGTCTAACTATTCACGACGTCTTTTATTAAGAATATACAAAACGCTATTCTAATCTCCACTACATAAATATAGAGTCTTCACATGTCGTCGTACGAACCGATTGAAAATTGCCGGTTGATCATGGTTGACCATCAGCCACAAAAAATAACCGAAATTTACCGACGATTTTCAATCGATTCACACGACATGGATTTCTATTGTTTTTTTTCCTTAGCCTTGTAAATTAGGAAAAGAGGAATCAAGGGCAAATAAGGCATCTCGCCATTTCGTAAGAGCCTGGAATCTAGCTGAAAATGATATAAATCATCAGAACTTCAAAAACATACTTTAAACAGATGTGCTTTGGTTCTGTTGAATGAGTGGTTCTTGTTTTGGGTGATGTCAAAAACACGCTCGCTACTATTTTGTTTATTGCGCTCATCTTCATTTTTTGTCTATTCAAACGGCAGTCGTTTTTATCTTTGTAAAATTCTGTAACTTGAATTATAATTTTATATTTACAGAAGTTCAAATGAAGTATTAATCTAATAAACTTTGAATTACTAAAAACTAGATGTATGCATTCGCAAAAGACATGAAGAAAATATGCTGTTGACATGAATCCGCGGGAAGCCATGCTTTCCATTCGTCAGTCGAAGCAGATATCAAGTCGTTCATACAACAGATAAAATGCTCCTCTGCAGCTTATGTCACATATCATAGTTATTTTCCTACAATGGCGGACGAATCTGTTACAATTGCACGTCATTTATTGATGATCATTGGTATTACTTGGTATACAGCCGGGATGATTGGTAATATTTGTAATATTTATATTTTTTCAAAATGGACGTTTACGAAAAATTCTACTCATGATCAACGCCTTGAACGCAAGAAAAGCAGCACTCCTCTATATTTGTTGACGTATTCAATTGGTAATCTACTTGTCATTATCTATCCACTTTTAGTTCGAATTACTATTGATGGCTATGAATATCCAATAACCAAAAGCAATTCAATTTTTATATGTAAACTACGTTTTTATACATTACATTGTGCCAATCTCGTATCATTAACATGTTTATGTTTGGCTACACTTGATCAATACCTAATCTCATCACCAAAAGTCTATTGGCGACAATGGAGTCCAACACAACGACGAGCAAAACAAATAATTGCTGCTGTTGTATGTTTTATCAGTCTGCATGGTTTACCAATTATTATATATTATGATGTAGATATTATAGGTCAATGTATCATAACCTCACACACATATGCATATTATTATGTACTTGTTATACTCATTTTTCTTTTTAGTATTGCTCCCATTGTCTTTTTAAGTATATTCGGTGTATTGATATTTATACAATTAAGAAATATGAAACGTATACGAATGACACAGAAAAATTATCACGGAAGTATGAATGTTAATCAACAAACTTCTCGTATGCTTTTTCTTATCTGTATTGCTCTTATATTGTCATCTATGCCTTATGGGATCGATAATATTTATAATTTCATGATTATTGGCAAATATGCTCCGCAATCTTCAATTGCTTTCATATGTCGAATGATTGCCATTATTATATTTTATATACATCCAGTATCCAGTTTCTATATTTTTCTATTTTCAACACCAAATTTTCGAATGGAAATACGAAAATTGATTATGAATAATCAAAACGGTGGTCATCTAGTTAATAATCGAGTTCATGTAATCATGACAACATAGATAAAAAAACGCTCTTCTTGTATTTTAAAAATATTATTTGATTATAATGACAGCAATGTCAGGCTTTTGAGTAATTTTGTTTCTTTTTCTCGAATCTCTTTATTTTTATGTTCATTTGAAAGATTATAATCTCTGATTTGCTGTAGATATTTGAGTTATAATACAATGATTCTCATTTGATCATTTGATGAAACTTATAGGATACAAGATTCATAAAGTGTTTTATGTTTTTTGAATTTTATTTTTCTAGACAATCAGCTCTACATCGGTCGGGAGCAGGGTGCAATCGATAGAAAAACCTATTAGCGCCATTCCTATCTAATTAAGTTGTCAAACAAGATGGAGTTGATGTTATTGTAAAAGAGGGAATTAATCAATTTATGCCTCGATTTATGAATTTCTACCTACTGTTAATACATATTAATGACGAAAAATATTAATACCAACATGTTCCAGTGAATGTGAGGAAAAATGAATGGATAACTATCATATTAACCTTACAGTACCCATGTAAAAATAAAAAGGTATTCAACGAAATGATTCTTGAAATTAACACAAAAAATGCGTTAAAAGACAAATTAACGAAATTTCACGAAGAAAATTTCATGAACTTTAGTTATATTCCGAAAACTCGTGTAAACGCGTTAGATTTTTCACGCTTTTTCACGCGTGATTGTCGTTCTAACTATAACTAACTCATTATATATCGTTAAACGTTGCATTCATTTTCACGCGTTAAGAAGTTTAACGATATTTCTTGAGTTTTTTATTTTTAACCAATCTTACCATGTTAAATATCGCTAAACTTGGTATTCATTTTCATGCGTTAAACATATTAACGCGTTTTCATGCATTTCTGTATTTTTCACGAAACTTAACTGATTGATTCTCGTTAAATCTAGTTACTGTTTACACGAGTGAAATATTTTAATGAGTTTTAATGAAAATCTTAATTGTTAACGAACGTCATTTAATTATTCATCATTGAATCTACTAATTGTTTTCACGCGTACAATATTCACGATTTTTTGTGTAACATATTTGTTTATGCACATTACACAAAAATCATTTTGAAAGGCTTATATTTACGAAATATCAAGTGTGTCTGTGGACTAAGTCAATCCAGATATCAAAAGCTTTTTATCAGATTAGGCAGCACTTCTTTAGAGAAATCTCTATTTTGTATTAATCGCTAGCAAAACTACTTGAATTAATCCTAGACAA